GTAGTGGTGGTTCAGCTGGTGGTGCTCGCGGTGGCGGTGGTAGTGGTGGTGGTGGTGGAGCTGCTGTTTGTTGTGGTGGAGTGGGTCCAAGATTTATGCTGACAACTCAGTGTTTGATTGGCAAATGGATGGGGTCGTGGCTTCGGGGGAGCCACCGCGTCGTATGCGTAATTTGACAAGTCTTAAAGTTGCCAGTGATTTAATGCCGGAGAATCCACACCCAATACACACAAATACACACACAAGGCGGCACAACTGCAGCCAGAGAAGTGGCAACTTCCGCATGCCGCTAATTGGCAGGAGCTCTGTGGCTGGCGGATGGGGCAGGAGCCACAGGGGGCATCCTTGGCTGGCAATTAACCCGCATTGCCCCAGTCGCCGGGTAGTTGAACTCCAAGTCAGGCTTTTGTTCTCTCCTATGCCGAGCTGTGCCTCTGCTGCGCCTTCTTTCTTTTTTTCGGCAATAAACTAATGAGCGACAAAATGCAAAAGCCGCAGACTAGTGGGAAAGAGGCAGAAAGGGAGGGGTGTTCACACTTGGCATGCAATGTACACATAGAAAAAGGAAAGGGAAACCTAAGGATAATTCATGAACAGTTTAAGTAAGGCTTAAAATCCATACTATTAAATTATTAAAATTGTTTCTCTTGGTCTTATTGTATAAATAAGTTTAAAATTTACTTAAAATATATCTTAAAATTTTGATTATTTCAACTGGTAATTTATTTATTTACATTTATTATTAGTAATTTATCCCTGACCACTGCCTGTTTTTCGAGTGCAGCCTCGCCTGGTTCTGGGCCTTAATTAGAAGGCAACTCCCAGCGCCCAAGTTAGCCTAGACGCTGACGATGACACCCAAACAACTTGCAACTATGCACTATTAACCCTTTGTGCCTCATGTGACTGTCTGTCTGCGCCTGCGAGTGCATGCGGGTGTCCTCGGCAAATCTCATTTAGCAATTTAGCCGCACACCCACTCGCAGAGGCCTTGGTATCTGTTTCTGTTCCTGGCCCGGTTTCTGGCCCTGTGGATGTTGCTGTGGATGTGGATCCTTGGCTCACGTCCATCAGTCGTTTGCTCGTTTGCCTGCTCGCTCATTTAATTAACAGTCGCGCGCCACGCCACAGTTCCCGGCGAAACGAAAAGAAATAAAGGAGGCTGGGCCCTTCTGGGGCTCTGAACTGAAGCCATATCTATAGCCAAAGTTGAAGCCCTGCTCAAGGCGTGCTGCTGCAGCGATTCTTTCGGTCTCTCCACCTTCTTTCTGCCGGCAGATGAGCAAGTTGCATGTTTTTTTAATTATGAATTATCGTTCCGCCCCGACGGAGTCGGCTGTTTGACTGACTGACTGACTGACTTGACTGGTTGACTGGTGGACTGGCGGACTTGTGGACTGGCGGTGGAGGTGGACTGCCTTGCATGGAGCTTGTTGCATTTAAATGACATAATTATGGCGCATAAAGAAACTCCCACACAGGGCGGCGTTTCAAAGGTAGGCAACCACCCAGCAGCAGACAAAGGGAAGTATAGTGTGCTCCCCTCCTTTGTAAATTAATATTTCCGAACTGGCGGCAGACAACTTGAAAAATTCCCGCACAACAAAATACGAGTGCCAAACAATGCAAAAAATGAAAAAGGAATCTTTATTTTCTATTTATATTGTATAACAATTTTTATTTGCACTGGCGGAGCCACTTAACTGCCACGCCCCCTGCAGACTGCACTTGAGTATTTTTTTTATTATTATTATTTTTTTTTTTGGCTTGCAGATTCGCAAAAATTTGGACAATTGAGAGCGTATTTGAGCGTTAAGGCGCATATTATGTGTGCAAATATATCGCAAGCAAAAAAATTTATTTCAATTCTATTTGATTTTCATGTATTTTTTGTGGGTGATTTTTCTCTCATTTTTTGTTACTGTACTTCAGAGTGAAGGCCACTTGTGAAAACCATTTTCATTATGAGTGGTGGGTAGCCACCAAATATAAAAAAGTGGAAGTGGAATAAAAATAAAATGTTAAATAAACTGCAAATAGAAGGAATAAAATTCCATATCGATTTGAGCACGCATACGGACACACAGTTATAAACCGTCAATGGCCTAAACAACTAAAATGATGAGCGCCAATGAAGCGGATGCTAAATGTTTGACTCTCCGGGGGAAAAGGGAATCCTACTGAAAGGGAAGGGAGTTTTGTCTGCGTGAATGTGTGTTGATTATCAGGTACAGTAGTCACTATTAAGAGAGAACTATGAAATAAAAAAAGGGAAAATAAAATAAAATAAACACTTCGCAGGAAACGCTGAAAGATTTTTGTTCTTCCAGTTTCATGTTCATTTCCAACAAAAAGATTCTCATTGACTTTTACCTTATCCCTTTTTCACTGTTCACCAAATGGTATATATTGATTTCGATTTTCAAGTGCAATGAGGTTGATGAAGCACCAAGCTGCTGCAGCTTTATTGTATTGCATTTTAGTTCAATTTTAGTTGAAGTATTTATCTTAATTGAAATTCTGTTTGACTTTGCCACCAGAAAGAGGAACAAAGGGGAAATGACGGCAACCATAAAAAACGCTTTAAAATAGTATCAATGCCAATGGCTAAATGGAGGTATCCAAAGTGATAAAAAAGGATATTAGACGAATATTGGATTTAAATTAACAATCAGCTTAATTAGAAACAATGTCAGGTGCAGCAGCTATCTAAGCTTAACTTAGTCTGCAACTAATTATTACGTACTCAAATAACTATATGGATAACTAGATTTTTTATTGCAATTTAAATTGCGCGAAACCCCAAAAAGAAAAATGGAAATAAAGAGGATAACAATGGCCAGCTTTCGCATAAAGGCTAATTAACTATCGATTGTTTTTGTTATAGCTTTTATTTTTTATACAGTACTCTTAGCACAAATTATTACATGGCAATTATAAATAGCTTGCTATGGGTTTGCAATTAAGCATGCATGAAACCGCAAATTTGCATTAAAATTGCACTCAGTATTAGCAACAGAATCGAAAATAGTTTTTATCTATTAAGCAAATGGAACTTTTAAGCTGATTAATAAAAATGCGAAAATTGAACACGGGCTTAATATTCCTTTTGCAGCTTGGTTAAATTACTAATTAAAAAGAGAAATTAATGACGGCTGGAAGGGAAAATCCCTTGCCCTGGATCGGGAAACGTGCCAATGCATACCAAATGTTTTTAGTGGCTACAGTTCCTCCATTCTATGGCATTATAATATGATAATTATATCAGTAATCTGGGCTCTGGCTTAACTAATAATTAATTTTATTGATCGACGAAGGCATTAATTGCCCTGCTTACGATTCCGAGAGCCCAAGATAAATGGCCCGGTATTTGTGTAACCATTCATCAAGTTCGGGGGCTTGACAAAAACTTAACAACTATATATACATGTACGTATATGTATATGCGCAGTGTTTGCGCTAATGAGCCTTAATGGCCTCACCCGAAAACTAGGCAACACTTTGCTGAAAATTTTAATATCGCAACACACGCAGCTGGGAAAAAGGCCTGGTGCGAGCCCGTTAACTTGTCTTCATCGTCAACACCTACGGCATTTGATTTATGACCCACTAATCCACTGCCTCCCCAAAAAGTGCCTCAAATCTGCAGCGAAATAAATTCCTCGAGCTACTATTGCTGCTCTATGTAGCACTTAATGGTAATGCATAAAAACGCACTAAAATAATCCCACGCAATTAATCCAGCATACCGGTTTCTTACTTTTTTCTTTTGCTTTGTTTGCTTAATTGGTAAACATTTTGTTACACTTTTACGAGCGCCAAGGTGAAGGCAGCAAATCAGCCATCAGCCATCAGCCATCAGTCGACACTCCACTCCACTCTGCTCAGCGGAAAACAGAAGTCGCTGCTGCACACTGGAGTTCGGTTAATGGAGCAACTTTTAACAGCGTTTACACACACCCATCAAGGCACACACGCACCCAATTTAATATGGCTCTTTTATTGTTGCCCGCTACTTGCCTTTGTTAATTAAAACACAAACACGTGCAGTACGCATAAAATATTCAGCAGGGAGTCCCCACCTTTTGGGGCTAAAGCCCTATCTATACCCGTATCCCAGAAGCCGAGTAAAATTCAGAATGATATCATGCCGTTTTCACTACATTTTTGATAGCCCTCATAAAGATATAGGAATCTAAACCGAAGATTAATTAGAAGTGCAAAAGAAGAGAAAAGCGCTTGCAGAAATGTAAATACTAGTTTTTCGTCTCAAAAAACATTTATAAGCTAACAAAATAGAGTCTCAAAAAATTGTAAAAGTTGTTACAATTTAACAGGAAAATAAATCAATATAACACTTTATAAACCTTAAATCCCACCCGGAGTATCGTTACAAAAAATACATTGCGTAAAAAATAATTTCCCCTGTTTATACACAGTCTTCCATATATGTATGCTCCCGAAACGATTGTATGCATACATTTTTCCCATAAATGCAATGCAAATTTAATCCTTTTAGCAAGTCGTTTTCATTACATTAACGAGACAAATAACATTTTGGTTTTATCAAAATATGAAAAAATATTTATTTTCAAAGAGGGACATCAACGAAAAAAAAATGCTTGGTTCGTGCTCCTTTGCCTGTTTCATTTTTTTATGCCTGTTTGTTTTAAGCGGCAAGAATATTTCAGTTATGCTTTTTTCACATGCCCCGGCAATCATATTCGTTTATCCGCATCCATATCCCTTTTCATGTTTGTTTGCCTGCTGTTATGTGCAAAACAATTTCATGTCCCGTTTGTGCCCGCGAAAGGTTTTGTTGCTTCTGGTTTGTTGGTTTCGGTGCAACATACTGTGGCGAAAATATGCGTGTGCGAAAAGGAAAATTTGCAAAAGTTTATCGTGAAAATGAAATTTTTGTATTAAACAGTATTGTATTGCTTGTTTGCCGATGGATTAGATGATACAGACCATTAGATATTTTATTGAAATTAACGAAATTAAATTAAAAAGGGTTCTTTTTTTTTAATTTTATTTCAAATACAAATCGATATTAGCTTATCCTTCCTATCCTTTCTATACACATCTGTTTCATCTCGCTTTGCTTGTAATTCTTGGACCGCTTTCAATGCCAAAAATATGCAAAATTTCGGTATCCCGTACCAAAAAAAAAATGGGAACAAAAACATGAAATGGTTTCGTCATGAAAGATGCAAAAAGCGTCGACATGCCAAAGGATAACCAACAAAATGTGTGAAGATGAGGTGGGTGGCTGAAAAAAAGAAAGAATGGAGATATATGGTTATGCAAAGGAAAGGAGAAAAAAATCAAGTATACGCAACGTCAGACAAATGCAAAGTGGCAGGCAGCAAAAAGCGAAAGGAGAATATTTGAGTCCGGAGGCATCATGTGTGCGAAAATAAGCACGAAAATTCCTCAAACAAAAATATGAATTCCGCCAGCTTTAAGCCACTTTAATGTGCTGAAAATGTGAATTAAATTGAAATGGGTGCGACGGGACTTGGCCGCATCTGCAGCAGTTCGCATTCACGGTGGTCGAGGGCCTGTCACGTTGTCTGCGGTCGACGCAACTGAAATTCACCTTGGACGGCCACAGAAATGATGTCCAGTGCAGTTGGGGCAGCTGCCGCAATCGACCGCAAAAGAGTTGGCAAAAATCTTGATGCAATTATTCATATAAAACGCAGCACGCACGAACCGAAACGAAACGAAACGAAAACCCAAACGCAAACGCAAACTTAAACTCAAAGGCAACGAGCCGAGATGCAAAAACTCAACGAGTTGAAGGTGTGTGCCCGGCGGCAACAGCTGCGACCCGATCCTCCAGATCTTTCGAATCTGTCTCAACGCCACTGATCCTCCACTGACAGTTTTCCTGGGAACTCGGGCATGGGCAAGGGCACTGGAAACACCGGCCCCAATGCGAAATTCATTTGTCATGCTTATAATTGTCTCACTCCGTTTCGTTCGCCGGCCAAATTGCAATTTTACGGAGCGAGCTCGGCGTGTTTTTCCATTTTTTTTAGTTTTATTCTCCTGCTGCTCTTGTTGTGCGTGGCTCGCAGATTGGCCAAGGCAGCAATTTTAATGAAAACGTTTTGGCCCAGCCCAACACTTGAAAAAAATTCGTTTATTTAAACGTAGAATATTTTGAAGATAAATCCATTGCAGTTTCTCTACAGAAAGTATGTAAGATTATTAACTAAGTTATCATTCTTGCTTCTCAATTATATTGGTATACATTTAATTTACTTCACTTTTTCTAAAGATTTTATTCTTTATGTTTTCTAACACCTTTTTTGCCAGTGCCGCCTTGAGTTTTAGTCTGAGATCCTGGGCTGCCTTCACGTAGCCCTTGGTTTTGGCCGCCGCCTGTGTGTGGGGCCGCCTCGATTGCTGTCAGTAATTATGCTTAATTTTTGGCTGTTTGTTTGTTTCTTATTTTTCTTTTTTTTTTTTTTTTTTGTACTTGCGCAAGTATTTACTTGGAGGCGCAGTGAAAGGGCATCCGAGGCAGTTGAAACATTTATTTCGGCTGGCCAGGAATTTGGCATCCATTCCATCCATCCGGGATGCCTTCTCAGGGCTTTTGTCTGTATTAAGTTGTTTGGCAGCTGCTGCCGCTTCAGCTTCCGTTGGGATAAAAACAAGATGAGGATGAGGATGAGAATGAGAACGAGAACGAGGCTGATGATGCCCGGTTCGTTGTTTAAAATTGAATAATGCCCGCTCATTTGGTTTTATGACATTTCGATAATGATGATTGTGTGTTGGGCCTTTGTTCTGGGCTTAACTTTATAAGGCAAACAAATTGTTGTAATTTGGCCGCTGCGCCAAGAGCTAAAGACCGCAAAAGTCAGAGTCAGTTGGGCCAAGTCCGTCGACATTGACGGGGTAATTCAATGCAGCGGAATCGTATAATTCCCAGACAGCGGCGATCAAAACGCGCACCGAAGAGCCGGGGCAAAAAAAACAATCCGAAGCTGAAAATGAAATCGATCATGATTGAAATCGAGCAGAGCAGCCGCGTCTGCAGCTTCGAGAGGGCGAGTGTTTTGTGAAACATCAACATTTTGACAGGCACACAAATCCTCTTGAAAATGAGATTTATAAAACACAGCGCGGCGGCCGCAATAAAAACCCGGCGAAAAAGGGCAAAGTCATTGTCAGCCGAGTTGGGTCGGCCGTTGCGCTTGGCTGCGAAATCTCAAAGGCAAACAGAACAAAAAAAGAGGATATATAAACACAGTAGCAGTCAAAATAATAGTTAACGATAATGGGCTAAAAATTAAAAAGAAAAAAAAATAGTTTACCTAAATGGAAATGCTTTTTATATTTCTCTCGGTTACATGTTGGTGCTTAAGTGACAGAAATAATTAACGTTTTACAAATTAAATTTAAGCAAACCTGAGTAATTTTGAAATCAGGAAATTTATGTTCTCCCAAAACTTTGTAATGACTAATTCCTTTAAACGTCAATATCCAAGTACTACTATTTTGGCCTCAACTGTATTTATACACCTCAAATCGACGAGACACAATACCGATGCGGTTTAATGTGTAACATGTAGCCAGGTCGGACTGTCGACGCTGGACTGTGTTGTTGCCAATGTTGCTGCCTCATGTTGTCGCGGTCTTCACTCAGGTCCCAAGTCCCGACTTCAGCGTATTTATTTTCATTTCGAAGACATTGTAGTGTCATTTCAGCGACCGCAGCATGAAAAGCAAATAAAAGGCAACACACACCGCCTCGCCTCGCCTCGCATCACATTGCAACGCATCCCGTCCGATCCGATTCAATTCGATTCGATGCGATTCAATTCCAGTCTGAATCCGAATCCGTGGAACAATCCCGGGCTTTGCTGCAGCTTTTAATTAAGCCAAAGAGCAACCAGTTGCTGGACGTCTTCGTCTTGGTCAGCCGGAGTGAAAAAAAAACTGAAAAGAAAAGCAAAACACAAAAGAAGTAAAAAACCGAAGAAAAATAATTTATCTGCCGCCGCGCGCTTGTATCTGTATCTGTATCTGCGGCCGGCAATATGTATCTCTCGCCTGCCGATGTTGCAGTTGCTTTGTTTGCTCAGGCCTCAGTTTTAGTATCGGTATCAGTCGCAGTCGCAGTCGCTCTCGGATGACGGTGCTGCCCTCATCTGCTGTCCCGCTGAGCCAGCAACACCCCAGATCTGTGGAGCTCACTGTGCGTCCAGATACCCTGGATCTACGGGTTCCAGGGTAAGTTTTAAGGATACGATTTCAGTTGACATTTGATCAAGCATAAAACAATACATACAAGATACACATAGTATTAGTAAGTAGTAAATAGTCTGAATCGTCTTAAAAATAAGTCTTTATTTATCTATACTTTAACTTTAAGTTGGCTTATCTGTATTCTAATGATATGTTTTGCCAATAATCCTTATCAAGCCGTATCGTTAAACTAGGTATTGCCCATTCGGCAGACTCTTCTTAGCGATTACCCCTCGTGTTATTTTTTTTTTTTTTTTCGAAAACCCAATCCAAAGTCAGAGCTCAGGCTCAGCCGCCCGGCAGCATCTCACGTTCATGCGTGGCCACATTTTTTGCAACGCTGCCTGCGTTTTGTTCGTTTTTATGGCAATAATTGCAACTTGATGACTTAATTGCGGATGCAACTTGTTTTCCAGCTTCAACCTCAGCTCGGCGTATGCCTGGAAATTGAATTTTTCCACCTGGTCTGTCCCGTCTGACTCTTTATTTTCCTTCTCCGTTTTTTTTTTTTTTTTTTTAAGCAGGATATGCTTTCATTACTATGGATAGCTAGCAGATAAATGGGGGGCTAGTGGGGCGCGGCTGCAATTTTCCCCATTGCATAAGCAAATAAAAATTCATTAATTTATGACTGCCAACGGGCAGAGCAAACCGAACTTCCAGCCAGCCCCGGACTTCTCCTCCGGAGTTTGGAGTTTCGAGTTATTTTTATAATCGCAGCAACGTGACATTTATGCGAGTGTTCATGTAAATGATTATTACGTGCCGCAGACTGAACGAAACCGACCGACGGCACCCCGCTGTCTCCACTATATATTTTCCCCCGTCCCCCATTCCCCGGAACCCCCTGAACCCGCGGAACCCCCGGTTAAGTTCCAAGTTCCCACTTCACAGAGTTGTTTGCCCAAGTAGATTTCATTTGATTTATTCGCCCCAGCAGCACTATCTCCCGCTCTCGCTTCTTCGTCTGTGGCAGCGCCAAAGTAATTTTATGTTTAATTAAAAAGAATTCTGCGTCATTTGCTTGGAGAGCAGACTTTGATGGACATTTTTGCTATTCACGCTGCCGCGCTGTCGATTGTTGTTTGTGTTGCTGTTGATATTTATGTTTAATTATAGTTAACATGTTTTGTGTCTGTAGGTTTTGTGGGCAGCGGAGGGTTAAATGGAGGCAAATGGGAATGTCTATGTCTGTGCACGACTTTGATGTTCGTTTAGTAATTACATTGCGTGGGCCATATTCAAATCGAGTTCGGGTCCGATGTGAGGACCGATACAGTGCGTATCGAGGCTTTAAGACGGCTGTCTGTCAATCAGAGGCTAAGTTGGACAGGTTAGTTATAGGTTGTTGAATAATGACGGCTTTCCGGTAATAGGAGCACTTAGGAAGTGGAACGGATAACTTTAAGAGAAAGGTGTAATGTATCATTCTTGAAAGGAAACAGTTGAGTAACTATATACTTACCACTGTGATTTAAAGAAATCATTAAAAATGTCGTGATCAGAGTTTATGGGGTCTTTAAATTTAATTTAAATTTACTCTTAACTGACTGGAAGAATTTTCAGATAAATTTAAATACATATTTCAAGTCGGAACTCTTGACAACCAACGCATTCCGCGATTAAAACTTTCTCAACCGAGCACTTAACTTTGATTGATCGCTGGACAATCAAATGAACCTCATTTGTAGCCCCTTAAGCTCTTTTTGTATAAACTGCAATTACAGAAACTCGAAAAAACACACAATTTAATTAACATTTCTCTCTCCCCCTTTCTTTCGTTTCAGGTAAGTTGTTCAGGCGAACGAAGAGCCAAACCTTCTTCATGCCATATCGAAACGTTTTGTCAGACATTAAAATCGAAACGTGGGTTAAATGTAAAACGTAAGTGACTTCAACTTCCACCGAAAATACAAACCGACTTCCAACTCGTACCAATAAATACGAAATACGAAAAAAGAATCACAAATTGATAAGACCCGCCCCGCTACGTAGGGAGTTTAAAAACTCATTTAGTGTCCAATCAAGCGGCCATAAAATAAAGTCAATAAATCAAGCATAAAAGTAACAAATGCACGGCCAGTTCACAGATAACACGCACACACACACACGTACCGAGATGCGGATACAGATACGCACCCATACGGCTGCACTTGGCTGCATTTCAATAAAAATTCGATACGTTTTGAGGTTGGGGTTCCTGCCCGAGATTGAGATGGGGAAGCCCGGCCCTCCTGCTCCTCCTTCCCCCACCCCCCTCCGCCTCTTTATCAAGGTGTGATGATCACTTGCGTGCCATCGGCGCCTGACTTGCATTTCAGAGCATCGCCACCTCGGCACCTCCAACCTTTTCCCCCCAACCTGATTCCCCATTCCCCCATTCACTTCCCTTCGGGAATCAATAAAAATAAATCGAAATGTCACAGCGCTGCATGTTTTTTCGAGTGTGAGGTCCCGCAGCTCTCAATCTTCCTCTTCGAAATACACAAAAGCTCTGGAAAACTGTAAATGACTTTGTGGACAGCAAAATTCATTGGAAATTCAATCTGCCAACTAACTCTATATATTAATTTCACGAAATTGGAAATTAGTTGCCTTAAAAGCTATCGAATTACCGGACGGTGGGCGAGGTGAAGCTGCAGAGAGAAAAATGCAAAGAGAAAGGTTCGCCTCAAGCATAAATTGTATCTTTTCACACTACACCCTAAATATGTAAATATTTGATATTGATATGACGCCAGATGAAACCGATTATATTAATAGTTAAGAACGGAGATGGAAAAACATTAATATGGTAATGAGGTAGATTTTTCGCTGTGTGAGTTTCGATTCAGAAAAATCAACAATCGATTGTTCGGGGCCGCACATAAATCCCCGAAATGAGAAATGTGTGGCACACAGCATCGCGGTGCCCCATCAGCGGGGGTCTGCATCGCCATCCCTTTTCGCTGAGCGAGGGTACGAGGGCTCGAGCCCAGCGACTATCCACAAATTGGTCGTGTTCAGCTTTAAATCGTTTTACGTAGTTTCCATCGAGACAAGTTTCGCGGCCCCGTAAATGTTTGCCAAATGTGGCGCTGTTTGTAAATCACGCACGCTGCAAGTTGCACGCAACCGTCGTCGATCGATTACCGGTCTCCCTCGCTCCTCGCCCCCCCCGGCTGTCTGTCCGTCTCTTTCTCAGTCGGAGATTCGGGCCCCCCCACCGCCTTTGGATCGCCGGAGTATGTTAATCTTGGTCAGCCGTGACTTGGCTGGAGTCGCCCCCCCGCTCCGCCGGCTTAACCCATTCCCCAGTCGCACATGGGTTAAAATTTATGCGCTGTTCAAACGGCGCGTAATAAATTTGTTTGCTCTTCAACTGTGTGCGCGCATGTTCATTGAAACTGTGGCAGAAGAGGGGACGGGGGAGGCGGTCCAAAACCGAAACGAAAGCAGGCTCAATCCCAATACGAATCCCAATACCAATACCAATCCCGAGCCCAGATCCCAATTCCAATCTTAGCTACAACACAGGTACACTAAGAATAAACAGAAAATCACCTGTGCTATGATTTAATTGAATCAGTAAACTTACTGCAAATGGATATAAACTTACTTATAGTAACACAATAAGTAGTAAGTAATAAAATGTTCATCTCGCTCATAGAAACCTCTTAAGGCAAATAAAAGCGAATTTCCCAAGACGATTTCCACTCGTTTTGGTCCGCTAATTAATGCCCGATTTAGTTTCCCAGTGTAAGTATTGCACTGCCGGCAACGGCCACTTCATTTTGTAGCTTTTAACAGCATTTCAGCATTCTTCTGTATTTGTTTATCTAAACGTTTTATTCATTTGTGGGGCTGTTGCTTCTGCTGCCTGCGTTCTGTGCTCTCGAGCTGCTCGCCACTCGGGGTTCCTGTGGCATTGCTTTATCTTTTGGTCAGTCTTTTGGCTCAGCAGTTCGTGCTGCCGTTCCGTTCCTGGCGGCCTAATTGATGCGCACTTGGCTGGGTTGCTGGTGGGATTCTCCAGTCCCCTCTGCTTCCCAATTCCCAGTTCCCTCCACTGCCTGAGTTTCCCTGCGCATGCGCAACATTCACACTTTGCCGGCTTCAGTCGTCGCTTGTCGCTGTTCGCCCGTCGCCATCTCCGAGTTGATTGCACATTTTATTTGCGCATTTATTTGCATTTTTTCTCACACCAGCGCCCAGTTCTTCGGTTTGGTTCAGTACAGCTCAGTTCCGTTCCGATCCGTTTGGTTCCCCTTGTTTGTTTTGTTCGCCAATGCCAATGCCGATTCCGATTCCGATGCAATTCAATTGTCTTCACTCTGAGCGCATTTCGTCTTGGCCTTCTTCATTTGTTTGTTTGTTTTCCGCTTCTGCTGCCGCTGCTGCTGCTGCTTCTGCTGGGGGGTTTTCTCATGTTCGCCGACGACTGATGCCGCCTCCTTTAATAGTTCATTTAGTTTGCATTTTTATGAAGTCTTTGTGTGGGTTGTGTAATAAATTTAACTCAAGTTTATTTATGTGCCATCGCCGAGACATTTATCACTCAATTTGAAGGCGTAATTGGGAGCAAAGCGACAGGAGGCTGCCACAGGAGTCGTCTTTGTCGTCGTCGTCGTTGCTGTTGTCCTCCTCCCTCCCATCCCATCCCATCTCGTCTCGAGTCCGCCAAACCAAGCTTAAATCAACTCCGAGTTGCC